AAACTCGGGACCAGACGAAAACTTCGATACATCGAGATAAATCGAATAATCAAAGTACAATTCATAAAATTTTTACCTTTTTTTTGCTTGTTTGTTCTTTTGTTTTAGTTAAGTTTTTTTGTCTTTGTTCTGTTTTGTTTGTTTTTTATTTTTGTTCTTTTTGTGCTGTTTTTGTTTTTTTGATGAGCTTTTTAAATCCCACAGAATATTAATTCTCTTGAAGTTGGCAATTAATGTATACACGACTCTAGGTTAACTCTGAGGAAAAAAAGTGTACAGTTTATACTTCATTTCACTTTTAACACTGGTTTTCATATTGTGTACCTTGTTATTGATTATAGTTTTATCAGCTGCTATAAAAGGTAGCACGTGGAGTAGATTACATTTCAAATGTTTATTCAATACCGTATTTTGATAACGTAGCATTACATCAAATTCCACGTACAGAGTTACAGTGTGACGATTTAATAATGAATAAAGGTCAAACTAACTTCTGTAAGGTCACACCAGAAACTACAAACGTAACTCTGATTCAAAATCGATTAAATGATTGGGAGGAGAAATAGCTTCAGTGGAAGATTTATCTTAATACCGAGGCTATTTAACAGGGTGTTGTATAAAACTTCAAATAGGTATTAACCTTCAGGTGACATAAGTTTTCTCCAAATTTCTCTCCCCCCACAGCCCAAAAAAAGCAAAAAAAACAACGTGTTATTGTTGCAAGTTAATGTATTTTCCTGGTGATTAGGCAAGTCTTATCCGGAAGTATTTCAACATACGTTACGCAACTGTTTTCTTAGATGTTAATGAAGAAACACAGTGACGAGAGAGAAACATCACATTTCGACCGAAATGTCCCTACTTACCGATGCGCAGTTGTATAGTAAGTAGAGGAGGTATATAGATATACATGTCACCGGTAAAGTCGTAGTGTTATATCCATTATGATTTATCTTCCTTGAGTGGATTTCCATAGTTTACCATTACAGTGTAGTTACATCATTACTAGCAAACAAACTGACAACATAGAACAACTTTTGAATAATGCACAAATGTTTTGAAGCTTTGACATTACAATTGTGCCACATCTCTTTAATGCATGATCTTCTGTGACATTTACCTAACGTTTGACGCTGAAGTATACAACAAAATTTTCCCATTACCCTCTATATGCCTTCCCATCAAATACATTATATATATGATTAAGAAGACACGGTACCAGTTTATTACAACGAACAAAAGGGATATCAACACCGTAACTTCCGAAAAATTACAAGGAGAATAAGATCAGGGGCTCCGGAAGAGTAAGCGTTTTATGCTTCTTTGCCAATCCGAGTAAGTAATGCCACGTTCTCAAATATGAAGAAGGTATATAACAACGGAACTGAAAGGCAACCTAACGAGCAATATACATGTCCTGTTTCATATTACACAAAAAACAAAATGTTTCTCAATGCTATCTCTGTGACGACTGTAAAATGTCTCCCTCATTTTCATCAACCCACATCGTTTGAAATTGTTTTACGAGTATATTAAACTCAAACATGATGAAATGATGGTATACCGAAACTTTAAGCAACTTTTTAAATACACCATTTCATCGTGATTAGAAATACCAGATTAAATGGCATCTTGAATTAAATACCCATTTAGATTGGGGATCAATATGGAGAATTATAAGTGTGAACCCGTCCCGTGTTAAATAAACACTTAAGTGTTTTATTGTTAAAGTGTCTGTATGCAGAAAATAATTAAAGAATGAACAAACCCAACGGGCTATCCACTTCTGTTTTCCCGAAATAGAAGATCAATATCCGTTTTTTCTTCAATATCACGAATAAAAATATAACTGACCTTGGGAAGTTACTGGATACCTAATTTCTAGATATGAAGAATAAAGGTAAACCAATGACGATTATCGGGTTTTGTGACAACGGTGAAATAAATAGCGAAACGTACATAATTTGTAACACAGTGAAATAAAATAAAATTCTGCTTATTCCGACGATGTTTAATGGGGCTTGATCAACTGCGAAATTCACAATATCAACTAAATTTTAATCAAAAAGAAAGAAAATTTTAAATGAACTACTACCTGATAAATACTGTAAAACATAACACAATGAAATTAGTCTATTTTGTATTCACTATTTATGATAAGACATTGTCTGAGTTATGGTGAATAGGATAAAAAACCACAATACTAAGTCCGCGCACATGTTCGTCAGGGGTGAACGAGTGCGAGTTAAAAACATTCTCAGTCAAGCATAAAACAAGCATGACTGTTCGAGAAACGTTAATTCTCAACAGAGCACAGACAATAGATAAAATGTAATTTTATGTCACGACATCACTTTAAGAGATTATATTAAGACAGACATTATTTTTGAAACTGAAATAATTATGCTGTAAAGATGATATAGACCCATGGTTGTTTGATTGACAAGTATAGAGCAGGAACATAGTCCTGTGATCTTTGGACTTTCTTAGAAATAGACCTTACTACAGTTTAACCTTTAAACGACAATTTTACTGGTTCTCGATTTTTCTGAATTTTTCGCATTGGCCTCCCTATATAATTCGCCAAACAATCTATAGAACTTTTGTTTTTTAATCCTAGGAGGACGAAGAACGAAACAGCTTGTTTGATATAGTTTACTTCATATTCGTTCTCTGTTAAATCTAATTGTAAAATTGTACCGAAAACTATCGATCCATATTTTTAACATTCACTTCAGTGGGATTTGATTGAAGTACGTCGCCTTGTGGAATGTTACATTTAGAACCCTAGCACCAATGATGGGACCAAGAAGGACGAGACTGATGTAAAATGCCACTATTTTTGTCAGCATTTTCTACCTATTACTAAATTTGCCTGGAAAGCAGTAATTCATTTGGTGCAATCCTTTATGCACTGATATATATATATATATTGTATGTATACTGTAATATATATATTGTATATGGACTGTTATTTCCAATCAGCAATTCAATAAATCGCTTCACAGATAAAACAATGTGAAGAAGATATACTCTCCCTTTGTGATATAAAACCTCCTCAGAGGGTAGGGAAGGTCCCCAAATATATCATAACTCAAGTACAATATATGAGACAGGTAGGTATAAACTTATCTTCATTAATAATCACCAGCTTTGTCTTCACTGAAGTTTAAATACATTTATAAAATAACTTTTCTATATCCTTTCTCGATATCATAGACCATCAAGAGACACTTAACGTTATAAATTGAGCCCGTATCACGTCCCGGCAAGCTACAACAGTAGGCTTTACGTCAAGTAGACCGTATTATATTGCTTACCCCGGATCTCTGACACAGCAGGGGAATGTAACAACCAATATACAGTTAGAGGTTTAGAAACAGATAGATGAATAAGTCACAGCTTGGATAGGTCAAGGAATTACCTTTCTGGTTTGATATAACACCAAGAAAACAAAATCTTGAAAATGATATATTCACAAAATATACATGTCGATAGGTAATGGATCAACTACTCTTTAATTCTCGTTGTTTCTCAAGGGGTCCAATATGTATAACAGGCAGTTGAAAAGTGTCCTTCCATCAAGGACCCAACCCGCGAAATCCACAGCTTCCCGCTGCTTTTATGTTCTAACTAAAAGGAGATTTCCTCCAGCGTGACGCTAGAATTTAATATTTATATTTGTTTCAATTTAGGGTCCAAGACGACGAAGAGAAGCATAACACTCTATCCCATAGGTATTTTATTGACCTCTCGAGAATGATAATCCGAAACATGCCGTTCTCTTCAAAGAGATCGATATTTCAAAATGACATGACAAGGAACTAATCTCTAGTCGTATGATTTCTTTCAAAAAAGAAATGCACCTGTCATGATTTATCAGATCAAGTTATTTAGAAAATCCTACTTGATAGAGGATAGCTCTAAATATCTTACATGATCCTACTGAGGATAGGAGACCGAAAGGAATGATGGGTCACGTGACTTAACCTCGCGTTCCAATGAAGGCAAATTAAGACATTTATTCAATATGTGGCGTATTCATCGAATACTAGAAACGACAGGTTCCATGGGGCGAAGCCATATGTAGTGACCTTAGAGAAAGTAAAGGTCGGAAGGGGCGGAATATATTGAATATCTTGACATCGAGAAATCATAACCATTTGTCAGCGGTCTATCTCCTGTCTGATGCAAAGGAGACAAATAGGAGGGTCTAATCTATTCATATGCCCAGTAAACCTAGCTAGGTTATGAAAAGACAATATTCCATTCTATATAATCTCTATATTAACATTGTGCATTATTACTGTGCCAGAATACCTGCCCCCACATTAATCCCAGTAAACCGTCTTTTAGCAAAATGGTTGTGCAGCAATATACACACATACTTTACGAACAAAGGAAATACGTGTGAAAGTAGATTTGCCGCGCGGGAAACAACATCATATCCAACTCCCCTACCTTTTTTTACCGGACCATCCTGTCAGTTCAGGACTATCATGCGTACATCATTTTACATAATTCAATTTCAAAAAGACCGTCGCAGAAACTGCAACGATAAGTAAGCTGATTGTAATGGTTGTAGAATCCTTACCATTGCGGAGCATAAAAAGAAATGGGTCAAAATTGGTTGTAAACTGTCAAGTCATATAAGATTGTACAAAAGATGCAAGTGAATAACACCTTTTAATACAAATTTAAAATAAGATACAGTGGAGCTAAGAAATACATTTACTTTGTCCTTCTAGGACTCGTCAGTGAAGCTGAAGGTCAAAATGTTAAAATCTTACAGGCGGTTGAGGAAAATCTAAGGTGATCGAAAGAATTGTCAAAATCTAGAATGGGAAGTGTACTTCCCCAATTATTCAATACATTTCGTAATTTTTATGTCTGATAAGCATATAAGAACGTCAAGCGCGTGTGTATATTCTGAAGCGTGCCACTATTCGAATGTTTTAAATGAATTTTTAATGTATTGTTGTTTCCATTTCAATATCGTGATGTCTTTCCTTAATTTTTCTCCAGGCTTGTCGTCAGCGTGTGGGTCATGTTACAAGAAACCGACCTTTACCAGCGGTAAAACAGTTTTGGAGGCACAGATATCCCCGTCAGAAGCTGTGTTTGAGCACGAGCTAAATGTTATTCCAGTCAAGGTCGATGTTCAAGTGACACCGAAATCTGACCCTCAATCTATCTTTCCGGGTGTAGGTTCGGCACAACGAGATGATGACGAAGACGGTCCTTATGGAGGGGTAGTGTACAAGTACAACGACGGGTCGGTCATCGTTTACGCCCCGAACAGATGGGATGGATTCTCTACAGGATCTGTCATTTATACTGGTAAAACTGTAAAATCGTTAATTTTTTTTATGGAATTTAATTTCAATGATTTCGTGGATCCTCTGAATTCATACTATTACTGTCAACGAAGTGCAAAGACTAGTTTAGAAACAAGAAAATATCAACATGTGAACGTTATCATAATCCAAACTCAAACTCATTTAATCAAATTTGAGTTTGGATTATGATTATGTTCAGATGTTATTTCATTTTCTGCTTCTTTTTTTCTCTCTCGTGAAAACTAAGTAAAAAGAAAGACAAACATGGAGACTCCCGAAATTAATAATTAGCCAGGTGTTCTGGAAGAGTAAGTGTCTTCCGCTTCATCGACGACACTCGGCGTGTGAATCTTGGTTTATCCGAGTAAGTGATAACAAGGTATGCAACAAAGGAACCAACATGCAAAGTAATGAACATCAAACACGTCCAGCCTCATGGTGCACAAAGAGTTAAAATATTTCTCATTGAGATCACAATGACGACCGTAAAACTTCCCAATAATTTTCTTCGATCTACATCTTTTGAAACCCTGTAGTAGACGATATCTTGCACGAAAATCGTGATATTAGGAACAGACTCTTGAATAACGAATCAACTGTGACATGCTTACATCATAGGTTAGGTTTGCAGAGATATTACTATCCAGGAATGGAAAATTTCTCAATACAGAAATTGAAATCATCACGCTAACAGTTTAATGGAAATCGTCAATGTTAATTGTAGGAAAAAGATCGAGATAAACGGCTGATGTAGAAGAGCCATCGTATCCTTGATTTCCAATTGTGATGGGTATATACGATGGATGTGGACAATAAATCTCTTCTTATTCAAAGACAAGACGTCTTCGTTATATTGAGAGTTAAATTAATGGACTTTGAAAGGTCTTTGTGTTTTGATATGCTCTTCGATAATTTCAGCCTCGTATGGAAACAAAAATGCAAGTCAGCCAACTGAAAGACATAGTTAGTTCCATTGTGTATATATTCTAATAGTCTGTAGGAAGATCTTACCACCAACCTCGACGAAGTAGATTTATTGAGCTATCTTGAGCCACAAAAGCAAGTGTAACGAAATTGTGACTTTTCATGAAAACCATTTTTCTAATGTATGTTTTGTACTAACTAAACAACAGATAAATGATGTTCCTATATCACTATGGTTAGTACCAAGGCTATCACTACTACCATTTACAGCCACGAAATAACACTGCCCGTAGATAATAAATGTTTCCCACATCAATTGAGGTAGTTTCAAAAGTACGCGTTACATCAGTGATTTTTATATCAACATGTTTGTAAAATGCAGGTGGCAGCACTTGGACCGGCCCTACTCAGATGAAAGAGAATAGGGCGAACGTGCGCGTGCGTGTCTGGTCTCCGATGGACTTCCCTTGTCCAGACTACGTCAAAACCACCGCTGTACAGGCGGGTCCAGGTAAAATAATCTGTCCATCATTTGTCATTTTACTTTCAACTCCTTAATGTTTATAAACCAATGATAAGTGCTTGATGAGGCCTGCTTTGTTTATCTCCAGGGAGAGGAACATTCAAGGAATTGGCCCATGGTTTGGGCACAGTCCCGGAGTATGTAACGGTCCAAGTCATACACGGCAGTTCCAAATGGGTTTCGGATGGAATAGGTAAATGTTACACTACTGGAGCTCAGAAAACTGTTCACATTAATATCAATAAATATTTTTTTTTATTTCGAACATCATAAATGATTAATAAATAATTCATTATGCAAGCCGTAAGTTACAGCGAAGTTTTTTTTTTGTTTTGTTTTTAATTTTTGTGAATTCTTCTGGGGATTTGCGAGTTTTCATCTGAACCATTTCGACCGAAAGCTCGCCATTTCCTTCCTTTTATTGAGAATATTGCACCACTGTTTTGTTATTTACAGGATATGTGATGACGTCATCAATGACATCCATTAATACGTCATGGGGAGGTGTATTATACGCATACAATGAGAGTCATATCCGGATCTGGACGCCCAGTACGGATTCTGGTACGAAAATGGCTGAATGGTATCATAGTTCCAATAATGAACATAGAAATCCAACTTTTGAGTTAGGAAATAATAATAATAGACTTCTTTATTTCACGAGGATTAAAGTACGAGGTTAATCTTCCACAGGTTCCTCTTTTTAGTAAAACATGGTTAAAATACATGCTTATTTACAACATAATCATAAGATTTTCATACATTTATCACAGATACATAATTAAGAACATCACAGATTGCACAAAAGTTCATGAAAATATATTTATCATTAAAGGACATTTTTTTTAATTATACATTCATAATAATATATTAAAGTGTAAAAACTGACAAAGTTATACACTTATATAGCATACAGTAAAGAATTATGGAGTTGGAAAGAAAATCAGAAAAATAGTTCGTTAAGAGTTCAAATAATAGCATACTAGTTTTTGTTTTGTTTGAACATAGAAAATTATGTTTCAGTTTTGATTTTATTTGGAATTTTGTTCCATTCCTGACAACCAGATACATAAAAATGTTTTGCATGGTTAATTTTCCTGTGTTAAGGAACTAATCCATTTTTACTGTAGATAGTGTGGTACCATACCATTTTTACATTTATATGTCAACCTTAACTTTTTGAATTGAAAATATTTAATTAAATAATCAACATACATTTGGTTTGATTTACATTAACTATCCTTTTGTTATCGTTATACACGCATCCACATTTTCAAGGCCTTTCTGTAGTTTATTAGGTACAGACGATCCCGAGTTGGTTAGAGTGGAGTCGTCGGCATATATGTCCTGTTCAGATCTGAGGTATCATGGCAAATTATTGATTAGAAGTAAAAACATCAAGGAGCCGAAAATTTATCCTTGAGGTATCCCATAGGTCATTTCATGTTAGTGGATATATTTCCTGAAATAATTAGTTTTCGCGACCAGTCATTGAAATATGAATCAACGGTATTTGAATCACATTTGTTTAATTTTAGCTTCTAAAACATTGTTGACTAAATCAAAAGGTTTCCTAAAATCTAGGAAAATAACACTGTTTACAAGACTTTTTTTTGCCCATGAATTAACTTTTTTTGAATATTTATGTAAAAAGAAATCTTATATTTTAGTTTATCCCGCATTTCACACATGTAATTTTGTTTCTCCTTTGAAATATTATGAAAGTTGATAGTACGTCCAGTTATTATTCCAGTTGATGTTCCGAAACGGGTATAGTCTCACTTCAGATATCAATTCATTTACGTTGATTCCTCTGCAAAGCTAAAAATTGGCCTGTTTTATTTATATAATACATCATTATATCAAAATTATTCCAACAAATCAAAATAATTAAATACACACAATGTCATATACTACAGTTTCAATCCTCGAAGCAAACAATAATAGTATACAATGCATCTAAAGGATTTGGCATAATCCTTTAAATCATACACCATTAAAATCAAGTTGTAAATTTTTCAGAACTTGGATAAAATGTGGTCTTTCAAAATAGCAGTTGGAACAATTGGAAAAAGAACAATACCAACATGTCAACAGAATCATAGTTTATACACAAATTCAATACAACTAGAGCAAAATATGAACAAACGAAAAATTTACGAAGACTCCTGAAAAAGAACAAGTAGAGTAAGGCCAGGTGTTCCAGAAGGCTAAGCTTCTTCTGCTTTATCGACGACACCCATCATGTCAATTTTGGTCGGTTTAAGTTATGTTAATATCATGTTCCCAAATGAGAACAAATGATATACTAACACCTATCTTATAAAGAAACAGAATTTTTCTCAATCAGATCAGAATTACACTTTGGTCTGTTCACTCATGTTCAATATACCGAACAGAAATTTGACAACTTCCCATGCGTACATACAATAGACTAATTGATAGCAAGTAATAGAGTTAAGATTTTAGTGAATTACCATCTATATTGAATTAATAACTTGATTATAAAGGCAGCTTATACAGTTCAGCAGACGGCTGGGGTCGAAAGCATGACGAAACCGTGAATTCTGGTAGTCTTGTCGTGAAAATGTGGAAGTTCTTCAATGGTGTCGACGTGTTCAGCAAAAGCCAACTAATCGGAAATAAAGCAACAATTGTTGAGAAAGAGATGAGTTTTACACCTTCGACTTTTGATACGGACCATGGACTACTCACAGCTATGGTATTCTGTAGTTACTTGACTTTCCGTTTCGATAATATCTTTCTCATTTATGAAATCATCCATTACAATAACGATGAATGATATTTTTTTTTTACAAATTATAACACAGATTCGCATTGGAAGTGTACTTGACGTTATTCTTAAATAACTAATATTAAACTTTTACGGTATTATCAACAATTTCTTCAGTCGATTTTGATTTTCTTCAATGCTTTCAAGTTTCCAATATTAGACCCTGGCTTCACTGACGAGTTCTAGGAAGAAGGTTCAATATGTCTGTTGCAGTTTGACTAAATATTCCGAACATACTGTATGAGATTTTTAATCTATATTTTTCATTTGTGTGTCGTTTGTCTAACCAGGTTCCATAACAGATCACATTCAAGAGATCGAACACTCACTCTGTAATCATTGTCAGAACGTGACGGTAATGTATTACATTGTAGGTAAAATCAACGGATGGACCAAACGCCAACTTCCTCTTTCCTGCCACTGGAGCAGTACAGAATGCCGAGACCATCGGATCTTACGGAGGTCTTGTCTATTCCTATTCCACTTTCGGTATAAAACTGTGGCAGCCACCCAGTAGGAATGGTTACCTGATTTATATCAGCGACAACTGGGGAGGAGGTGTCTATAAACAGAGTTCCAACTCAGCGCAGTTGGAAGTTCGAGCCTGGAACGTCTATGACATATGTAAGATGATAGCCATACATATTCGTAAACGTTGATTTATAGCGTATCTCATCATATTCAGATCCCCTTACGCCTCATAACAAATTATGTACCCAAATATACATAAGATTTGCTTATAATGTCTAAATATCTTGAATATACTATTTCGATCTATTTGCTTCATCAAGTTAAAATGCGTTAGGATAAAAAGAAACTGATTTCATGAATACGCGCTTTGTTAGGTTGATTCCTCTTTAGACAGATGAAGTTTTATCAGTGGGGGGTGGGGTGTGTGTGTGTGTGTGGGGGGGGGGGGGGGGGGTAGAGGTTGGGTTGAGGTGTTTGCTCAGGTAACAACTGTTCGAAAACTTACAAATGATATTACAATAGTAGTGTTCTATTTGAAGGTCCCACCACTGTAGCAACCTCGTCTACTTTGGTTCCTGCTTCCACACCCACACGAGCTCCGGTCAACAACATAAGAGCGACATCTGTCGGACAAAGGTCATCAAGTTTTGTTGGGAAGTACACCAAAACAAACACCAATTCTCCTGTCGTAATCTTCTCTAATGCAAGCACTAATCCCCAATTAGCCGGAGATACGAGTACGTTAACTGTGGTCAATATGAACGGAGGTAATACCAGACGAAACGCTACAGCAAAAGCACAAAACCGGTTCAAAGGACGTAAGTGTTACTCAATTGGTGAAACGTATTTTTTTCAAATTATTGTTTTGTACTCTATACCACTTTTTAGAGACGACATTTTGTAAGTAATGCACTTGTTGCATTGGCAGTAAACATTTATTGTTTTGTATTTTGTTGCTTTTGGGAGGTAGGGGGAGAGAGGGCGGAGGGAGGTCTTAATGTACATCAGTCCTTGAATGCCACTCATAAAACATAAACATATTCACCATTAGATTTTGATCCAACCATTCCTAAAGGACTTATTACTAAACCTATTTATTCTTGTCATAGCATCGCCTTTAGATCCTGAGGTGTGTTATTTTAAACTTAATGCAAAACAGTATTGATTCAGTATAGAATAGAATAAATCCGACTGATATAGGTGCTTTTCGACATAACAACATGACGTCCTACGTCTAGTTTTCTGATCATCGTGGTCACCTTAATCACAGTTTATACAGATGATCGCAAGACCAATTTATTGGTCACGCACTGATTTAATCTAATCATGTTTTGTTTGAATCCGTACCAATATTAAAAATACTCTCCCTAATTGACCTGTACTGTGTTTCCAGTCACTGTAGACTTACCCTGGTGGGCTGTGGGCGTTATCAGTGGCGCCATCTTACTATTGCTTATTGGCAGTATCAGTGGAGTAGTTCTAGGCATACTGCGCGCCAAGGACAAGGGCAAAGTTCGGAGCAAGGAAAAAGAAAAAGTGTCACGTTTCCCGCCAAAAGACCACGTGAATGGAAAGGTCAGTGTGTATAACTTAACTGTTTCAACAACACCATGTACCAGAATTTTATACAACGTATCTCCAAGATTGTACGAAATATTAAGCTTTATGTTTTTCCTCAACATATGTACATACGTCTATCAAGCAAGTGAATATCGCCTTTATATATGAATTAAGAGTAAGATATAGTACAGCCAAACAATGATTTAAACTACATCATACAGCTGTTTCATCTTTAAAAGACTCGTCAGCGATGCCAAAAGCCTGCACTTTGAAACCTTGGTGGTGGCTGAGGACAATCCACAGTAATCGAAAAACCTAGATAGGAAAGTGCACTAGCCTCATTATTCAATAAATTAAGTAATTTTCATAATCATTTTGGAACAAAGTCAAGCACAGTATTCGAATGTTCGAATGAAATAATAATTAAGTATGCTAGTTACGGCAACCCTTGGGGACTGAACAATTGACAACTTAGTAAATACGATGTCATAAAATAACACTATATACTATTATACGGGAATGTCCAATTATAATATATCGTATTTATTTCTTCGCATTTTCAGAAACAAGCTTGGGACATCTAACCGTAAGGAAAAACCTGCATTTTCCTATTACATCAACGACTTATCTAGTACATTACATACATTCAATGGTGTTTCTACGAGCTACTTAATAATTTTTACCATGGTTGTAACTTGAAAATCACAAGGAAAAAACGGCAGAAATTTACGGTTCTATTATGGATTCCATTTGTTAGTTTGTCTGCCTTTTATACAATTATGCACCAGGCAAATATTGTGGTATACTGGATTTTTTCACGTCTTAAAAGTGTCATGAAATCTGTACTTGTTGAAAAAATGTTTTTGCGTCTTATACTTCAAAAAGTATTTTTCAGATTTCCGTGCGATGCCACGACTTTTGTGTCTATTTATCACAGGTACCGGCTATAAATATAATATACATTTTTCGTAATAATAAAACAATTTATCCTTAACTCCTATACTGTAGTACATTTGTTTAAACGAGATAGGATAATTTCCTGCGTAAAATCATTTAAAAATATTATTTAGAGAAATAATAAAAAATATTAACATTATTGCGCCATGCATCCTCCTGTTCGAAAGTAAAGCATGATAAACACGTAATAAAAATGAAATTCCGTTCCATTCTTGCTACCCCTTTTGCAAATAACTGTGAAATATGAAGACAGATATTCGAACGATAATTTCCATCGACCGCCCCTCTCCCTCCCACATACACTGCGGTACCGTGTACATGCTAAATAACCGATTAAAGATTCAGACACTTAATACTTTAACATCACCAATTGGAAAGTGAAAGCTGAAATTCGCAAGAAACCTGGTAAGAAGACTAACAGAATCACATAAGAATACGTGTTTATTTTTCTTAAATCTAAAATCAACATATATTGTATAAAATACTATTTGGAAAGTTCTAACATGGATGGCATTTTCTATCAGGTTTACCATCGAACACCGTTTTATAGTACAAATAAATAAGATGCTCAGATGCTCGATCGTTCTTACAAAAGAAACATTAATAATCGCAAACAAATCATGCACTTTGTAACAATTAAACTCATTCTCACTATATTAAACATATTACCCGTTTTCCATCTTTTTCAGGCATAAATTATTGCGGAGAAAATTTGGTACATCATCAATATCAAAGGTTTTTAATCAAATAAAGTTATCATTCACAGATATTATGAAATAATTTCTCCTATGGAAAACAAAACTCTGGACATACATGAAGATCGAAAGTTGTTGGATCTGACACATTCAGAGTTGAGAAACCTCTGATTATATTCTGAAGTGAGGATTCTCCCCATCTGCCTATGTGGGATACACTCCATATCGTGATCAATATAAATTATCACATGAACTCCAGATGAAGACATTGCAGAGTTATTAAATTAAAGTATACGTACAGTATCCTATGGCTTTAGTTTATATATTCAGCATTGTATTAGCATTGTGTTTACCAAACATTCACGTAAAAGGTGGAAGAGAAAATGGTCAACCATATACATGAATATTCTAACCTTTGATATTGCATTGTGTTCAGAATTTTGGCAAAGCCTCGGTCATTATCCAAATTCCATTTCTACATATCCCACCCACTTACATATAGTTGACTCTATTGGTCAACAACGTCAAGGCCAACATCATCACCGATCTTTAATATCCGTATGTTTTCAGTTAGATTTTAAAACACAAGTATGTAAATAAACCACCATGTAGAATGGACTGTACAAGGTGGTTACAAGCAGTAGGGAAAGCCCGTTGGCGAGCAGTACAACCTGTATGTCTTCATCAGACCAGGTAGACTGCAGATAATTTTCTTCTGACAAACATCATTATAACCAGACAATGCAATGTAATCGGGGTGTTCTCAAAAACTCATACAGGTATATATCATAATGTCTGTTTACAAACATTGTAATAGAATTATAACGTATCACAGGTTATTGGAGTCAATGATCTGAATTTCCTAATGTAATCGAAGGCACTCAGTTCTGCTTAGACGGGCATCTGGGAGGAACACATGTACTATTCCCAAACCGTGACCAGATGCGATAATGAAATTTCTTCTCACAGGTATATCTCACAATTTGGACGCCTTTACATTTGTTCCCGGTAGGAAGGGCTTGTTCCCTAATGGTCTGACGTATAAATCTTGCTTCATGCGTTGTAACATGTCCCTGTCAATGCCGTTGGGTCCAAGTGCTTCAAACGCCATTTGTTTGGCTTTAGGTATCAAGTCGGATATGTCTGTCATTGCATCCACAAGGAACAGCTCTTTAGCTTCACCGGCAGTTACCCGTTTACCAAATAGCACAGCCTCTCGTATAGACTTCATGGCAAGCACCTTTTTACTGAAAGCATAATTCTTTATAGTTAAATTGATTAACAATTTCTGATGCGTACAATACATATAAATAAAGTTCATTTTTCAGATAACGTTTCAATATTAAAAATGTTGTAGTTTAAAAACAAATTATTCACCATCGAGTGGAGTCATAAATTACGAATGGGGCAACCAACTGTCTGCCTCTGTTTGATTTTCTATTTTTATTTTGACTATAAAACCTGTCAAAATGTAACTTTTCTGAGTAATGTGATAAAAGATATCTATTTTTTTCCATTTCATATGAGATTTTTTGAAAGTTATCTCAAGATCAAATTTTTTGCTCGTCAAAGTTTGCAAAAATAAAATCTGCTTAGATTCCTTTTATTATACATCATATGAAATAAAACCTCATGTAAGATCATATATATGATTTCATGAGAACATACAAGATGATTGTACAAAAGACACACAAGTTCAATACAAATTTATAGTTCGATAATTAGAGTCAAACAATCAATTAAAATGCAGATATCAGAATCTTTTTTTTACTTACCAGAGAAGGTAAGAGGGGCCATAAGGTACATAGTAGTTTTCCAGAAAATAATGAAATATCCAAATGTGTTTACCTGAGAAGGTCTAACAGCATATCTCCAAAACGCATCTTGAGATGAGTCTCGTTCCAAGAAATCCAGCCCCTATCTGACCGCATCACTCGATAGTCGTGTGACATCGCCAAAAACGCACCACCAGCAAATGCATGACCTGTAATCCAAATGTCAAAATGAGATCTGTAATTCAACAGAGAAAATCATGTACACGAATAATAAACTGCTGGACCAAGAACAAAAATATAAATATACCACCTGTATCTGAGGGAAGGGACGGGGTTGTTACGTAAGTATTGTACATTAATTGATAGGGCAGAGGTATGTTTATAAATCTACTTAAAGTGTATACATCTGGTGGTAGGGAGGGGATATTCGATAAATATAATGGTAGAGAGAAGGTACATGTGTACATCTACAGACAGTTTATACATCTGGTGGTAGTGAAGGGTACATGTGTAAATCTACAGACAGTTTACACATCTGGTGGTAGGGAGGTGGTATATGTGTAAATCTACTGACAGTTTACACATCTGGTTGTAGTGAAGGGTACATGTGTAAATCTACAGACAGTTTACACATCTGGTGGTAGGGAGTGGTATATGTGTAAATCTACAGACAGTTTACACATCTGGTGGCAGTGAAGGGTACATGTGTAAATATATAGACAGTTTACACATCTGGTGGTAGTGAAGGGTACATGTGTAAATCTACAGACAGTATACACATCTGGTGGTAGGGAGTGGTATATGTGTAAATCTACAGACAGTTTACATATTTGGTGGTAGTGAAGGGTACATGTGTAAATCTACGGATAATTTACACATCTGGTGGTAGTGAAGGGTACATGTGTAAATCTACTGAAGGGGACATGTGTAAATCTACAGACAGTTTACACATCTGGTGGTAGGGAGGTGGTATATGTGTAAATCTACAGACAGTTTACACATCTGGTGGCAGTGAAGGGTACATGTGTAAATATACAGACAGTTTACACATCTGGTGGTAGTGAAGTGTACATGTGTAAATCTACAGACAGTATACACATCTGGTGGTAGGGAGTGGTATATGTGTAAATCTACAGACAGTTTACATATTTGGTGGTAGTGAAGGGTACATGTGTAAATCTACGGATAATTTACACATCTGGTGGTAGTGAAGGGTACATGTGTAAATCTACTGAAGGGGAGATGTGTAAATCTACAGACAGTTTACACATCTGGTGGTAGGGAGGTGGTATATGTGTAAATCTACAGACAGTTTACACATCTGGTGGCAGTGAAGGGTACATGTGTAAATATACAGACAGTTTACACATCTGGTGGTAGTGAAGTGTACATGTGTAAATCTACTGAAGGGGACATGTGTAAATCTACAGACAGTTTACACATCTGGTGGTAGGGAGGTGGTATATGTGTAAATCTAAACAGTTTACACATCTGGTGGCAGTGAAGGGTACATGTGTAAATATACAGACAGTTTACACATCTGGTGGTAGTGAAGTGTACGTGTAAATCTACAGACAGTTTACACATCTGGTGGTAGTGAAGGGTACATGTGTAAATCTACTGACAGTTTACACATCTGGTTGTAATGAAGGGTACATGTGTAAATCTACAGACAGTTAACACATCTGGTGGTAGGGAGTGGTATATGTGTAAATCTACAGAGAGTTTACACATCTGGTGGCAGTGAAGGGTACATGTGTAAATATATAGACAGTTTACACGTCTGCTGGTAGTGAAGTGTACATGTGTAAATCTACTGACAGTTTACACATCTGGTGGTAGTGAAGGGTACATGTGTAAATCTACAGACAGTATACACATCTGGTGGTAGGGAGTGGTATATGTGTAAATCTACAGACAGTTCACATATCTGGTGGTAGTGAAGGGTACATGTGTAAATCTACGGACAGTTTACACGTCTGGTGGTAGTGAAGTGTACATGTGTAAATCTACTGACAGTTTACACATCTGGTTGTAGTGAAGGGTACATGTGTAAATATACAGACAGTATACACATCTGGTGGTAGGGAGTGGCATATGTGTAAATCTACAGACAGTTTACACATCTGGTGGTAGGGAGTGGTATATGTGTAAATCTACAGACAGTTTACACATCTGGTGGTAGGGAGGTGGTATATGTGTAAATCTACAGACTGTTTACACATCTGGTGGTAGGGAGTGGTATATGTGTAAATCTACAGACAGTTTGCACATCTGGTGGTAGGGAGGTGGTATATGTAAATCTCCTGACATTTTATTAGGGATAGAGTATATAGATATGTTCTGATTATTTATATGACAATGGAAGGGGAAGGTGTATCATATGTATAATAGAAAGATGAAATAAGTAATGTAGTAAAATGCCTAATAAGAATGTGATAATCACTATGAATGTTTACCGTTTATAGCCGCTACTGTCGGTAGAGGGAAATGCATAACCCTCCACAACGTGTTTTCAAGAGTCTTGCTAAATCTGTCAACGGTTGCACCATCCTGACCCATCAACCAGTCCAGATCGATTCCGTTACTGTAAAACTTTCCCTCTCCTGTTGTAATCAACGCCTTGCATTCCTTATTTCTATTGATAAAAAGTGCCATTTGCAATAACTGAATTACTGAGATACACTGTACATAAACGGCGTAACATAGGTTTGATATTGCATTGCGATAGATATATGCCTTCAAGAATGAAGTCAACAGACTTTAATAGAAATTCCGGAGAGAAGTTAAAAGAAATCTGTGCTGAATTGTACAATGATATGAAAAAAACATTTAATACAAACTCCTATTATACATGTACATGTAATGATACAGAGATCTATAGTTATGGAAAATAAACACATTTTCTTCCAGAGATGGCGGGACACGTAATTGTAAATAATAAACTCTTTTTACTGAAATTGTAACAATATGTTATTGCTTTTTTTTGGATACTATTTGTGAATCAGTTGGAAGTGTGTATTGAGGATCTGCACAGATCGCATTGATAAAATGTTTCCTATAATTTACGTGATGCATTTTTAACAAAAAAAGTTGTTCCGTTCAACCCTTCAAGATGCTGTGCAATTACAAAACGGCAATGAAAATGAATTCAACCGGTAGAACTTGTTACAATGTATTTAGTAAACATTCACAAGGACGTTTCTGGAATTCCGAACTTAACACTACGAACTTCTACATTTTGCTTCATGTTTGGTTACTGGTACTACGGCTGATTATAAACTATATTCATATAATAATTGATTTTACAAAGTTACATATTTCTCTTGTCCTATACAAAAAATACACCAAAATAGCTGCTTTTAGTACATTCTTACATATGCTTTTACTGATAAGTACAAAAAAGTATACTTTGTTTTGTACTTTTCAAAGCAAGCTATCATGACCGTTCTACTTTTTTGTGTACAAAGTTTCGATTCTGAATTTTTTGCGATGTACTATTTTTCTACTTCTCCCGGGGCAAAGAAATTTTGCAGAGTACTTTTTTGTACTGAAATCTGATTTAGTCATTTTTCAGAGTACTTTTGTTTTACCTAATTCTAACTTATGAATTTAACAACATTGCTCATAACTTTAGTAGTACCTTTTCACTTCTTTATTTTTCAACTTTGGATAGTTTGACAAATAGTGTGAAACACAGTGTACTTTTCCCTTACTTATATCTGACCTTAGACTGATATAAACTTTCCCACACAGACTCACGTTTTCAAAGTCTATCTAAAATGCATTTTTTTTGGTTTACTTTTTAAATCAAGAAAATAAAGTTTTACAAAACGATGGTTTTTTCATTATTAATTTTCTGTTAAAGAGTAACATAACCTGTTTCATATTTTATTTTGGTATTATATCATTATCATTGAGAGGAAAGGGTTGGGAAGAGAGAAAATTGTTCATTATATTTGAAAACTTGTTGATGCAACTGGGAAACAGGTGTCTCATGCGTAACGGCACCGATCGACAGACCGTGTATAGACGTCATGTGACAGGCATCGCAAGAAAGGATGCTTAAGTCAGAACAAATTTCTACGATATTAATAAACGAAATATGTAAAGGCATATCAATTAACGAAATAGAATTTTGTAAATTCACCATCATCTGATGTAAAAAAAAAAACACATAGAAAATACCAACATTGCAATATATTCATAATTCAAGCTCAAATTCCACAAAACTAGAGCAAAACATGAACAAAAGAAAGATTTACACGTAGACTCCCGCAAAAGTGCAAGGAAAATAAGACCAGATGTTCCGGAAGAGTAAACGCGTCTTCTGCTTCATTGACGACACCCGTCATGTAAACCTTGGTCAATCCAAGTAAGTATTGTCACGTTCTCTCTCATATGAGAAGAAGGTATACAACTACGGAACCAAAAGACAAAGTAACGAGCATCAAATACGTCCAGCCTTGTGTCGCACAAAAAATAGAATTTTTCTGTAAGAGATCACTATGGAGATAATTAAACTTCCCCATTATTTTCATCAATCTGTATCTTTTGAACCCTTGCACGAAAATCGTGATAATGGGAACAGGCTCTTGAATATCGAATCGTGACATGTACATTTAAATACCATAAGTTGGAGATTCAGGGATATTGCTATCCAGAAATGAAAAATCCACAATAGGGAAATTGAAATAACTAGCAAGCTTATCATACAGCTTGATGGAATGCTGTCCATGTTGGTTTCGTTGTATGAAAAAATCGAGATAAACGAGGCCAAGGAGGATGGCGGTCGCCTTGAATTCGCTCCGGCAATCTTTTGTATTCTCACCTACATTTATACGGTCTTCCTGGAGATACAAGGTATATACATATATACGGTTGATAAAGTGTTGAATTTGACTCATTGTGTCATTTTGGAAAAACTTCTGATCTGCTATTGAGTGTTTTTTGGTGTGACTATATGACTTCATACACTCTATATTTAGCCTCGCTATATAGGTAGTTTTGTATATACACACCATATTACAGTAGAGTGGGTACGCTGGAATTTTCGTCACGGTCTGATGATCCGCTATTATTAAGCTGTGTTGCCCGTTGTGCTCACGGAGGCGAAACTGCGTCTCCCTTTATTGGTCGCAATAACTTTATATTTTCACGTACGTGTTTGTAGTTTCAAGCATTATTACCAGTTCCGATCATGGCGTCAATCAGTGAGTCCTCTCAAGACCCGTCTCCTGCTGCGAAATCGTTTGACGATTCTTTATTCAAGCTTCCCAAAAATGAGTACATTGCCAAACTCTGTGAACTTTCATCAAATGCTGAAAGTAAAATTGCCTGGTACCGGGCCATTCTTTTCGACCGCGCTAAGGGTATTGACGGTTGCCCGACCTCTACTCTCGTTACTCGTAAGAATACCCTCAAGTGTCAAGCCTACTTGAAATATGCAAAAGACTGTTTCGCTTTACAACAGTTCTTGGATGGCGAATCCGTTTGTGAGATAGTAGATCTTTTCTCCTCTCAAAAACTTCCAAGGATGAATAGTCAGCTAGAAACTTCGGTTTTGGACTGTTCGAGCAACGTTATAGAGCAGCCTGCCCCTATCTCGCGCTCCGAGTTTGAATCACTTAAGCTTGAGGTGGCAAATTTGCACGCTTTGCTTCACGAATCCAGGGAGACTTCCAAAGTCCGTATTGACTCGGCGTTGGAGCTTCAAAAGAAACTGGACCAAGAAATGTCATCCCTTAAATCACAGTTAAATAAAGCTTGTGTGTCTATTAATAAAGTGTTTGACATTGACATTAAGCAAAGTTCTCCCCAGTCGTATTTTGCTGATAATATCCACTTGATAGCTTCCAAATTACTTTCTCTGGAAAAATTTAGGAAGTCGACTGCTTCTGAGATCGGCAACATTTCGAAGTTAATCAACGATAACAGCAGCGGTATCTCGCGCCTGAACGACGTCCGCTTTGGCAATTCGTCGGCTGTTCACAAAGACATTCGAGATATGAACGATCAGATCGCTACCTTCGCTAAGGACGTCCAGACTGCCTTAACCAATGCCTCCTCGGCTTCTAGTGGTGTTTCGTCTCTTAAATCTCGCATCCGGCAAATGGACTCAGAGATGAAAAATATTGCAGGAAAAGCAAAACACACAACTGACATTGCTGTGAAAGCTTTCGCCGAGGAACTTAGTGCTCAGTTAACCAAGTTTGAGGAATTTGTCCACGATGGCTTAAAGCCGCTCCCGACTGAGAAAGGCATTTCGCCTCCTAACATTCCTCATATAGCCCCACATGCAGCTCGTCTTGATCCTTCTCAGGCTTTTCACCGTCATGATGTCCAAACCTCCTCTGTACAGGATGAAGGAAGGACCGTTTCATGTGATGAGACCACTTCTCAAGGTTATGCTCTGTCATCGCCTAATGATGGTTCGTCTTCTCATACAAACCCATCTTGTGGCCAGCTGTCATCTCAGTTAATACAGTCGCCTCCCAGCTCACTTAGTCCAGATGGTCTCCAAAGAGCGAGAACTCCTCCGCCGGCAAATTCTCATGGATCATCTTGTGGTTTTGTGGCGGTTTCCAGACACAAAACTACACGTTTATTTCTTACCGGTATGTCAGCGGAATCTTGTTCTGTTGACGATATAAGAAGTTACCTACATGACCGTGGGGTCAATACCACTTTTGTTCGCCTTCTTAGAAGTAAGCGAAAGTTCTGTGTCTCTGCTAGGGTGAACGTTATTTCTTCTGATTTCCCCAAAACGAAGGAAGACAACTTCTGGCCCAAAGGTATCAGGTGTCGGAAATGGGTTTCCAATAACCGGTTCTACGGAAACGAGGCTGAAAACGCGCCCACACCTGATGGCGGGTTCGACTAGATCGGTTTACATTCTCAGTTTATCCATCTTTGCCCTGGTTATGTCAAACATTCGCTTGATGTCGTGGAACGTTACTGGCATAATGTCAGCTGCCTCTCATCTTCATGACGCGCTGACGACGGAACGCGTGGACATATGTGGAATATCTGAACACTGGCTTTATGAAGAGAACCTACATTTATTCGGTAGTATTCATCATAACTACCATTATTTCGCCATTTCAGACTTTTCACTGCATCCGCTAGCTGACCATCGTTCTCGTAAAGGAGGCGTCGCGTTGATGTGGCACAGTAAATTTAACGATCGTGTGTCAGTTGTGGACTCCGATGATGACAGGATTGTCATTATCAAACTCGTCCTTGACTTCGAAACTATTCATATCCTGCAAGTTTATTTTCCGACATCCCGATACGGCATGGACATGTACATCGAATATGTTCAAAAGCTAGATGAGCTCTGCTCGACTTTTTCCTTGTATGGCCCTGTAATTATCATGGGGGATTTTAATGCCCGTTTACAAGGCTCACGTGTTCCCGGATACGAAGATCAACGTGGAAGAATTCTTCAAAATTGTCTAGACCGTTTACAGTTGTTTGCGCTGTCAACTTCCAACCTCTGTAAAGGTCCTTTACATTCATATGTTCACTCAAAGGACGGTCCTACCTCCCTTATTGACCACATTATAATTAACACTAACTTGTTAGATCTTGTGAGTGAATGCTCTATTTTAGAACGTGGTTACCTTGACGTGTCGA